TCAGATTCTCCTATCATTAACGTCAAAAATGTGAGATAATCTCATAATTCTAGCTAGTAATTCTAATCAACTTTGTTCGAAGAAAACCTTATTGACGGCAATATTAAGAAAGTAGAATTATTCTATTTTCCTCTGACCTAAATGATTTGGATAATTGTGATTCGTTTATTCATGTTTCATAGAATGCGCTGATGCCCTTTTTTCTGTCAGATTCGATATTTCTTATTTAATTTAATTCTTTATAATCATTCTCATTGAACATTCTCAAAAAACAATTCGACCGATGAGAATTATACGTCCCAATTTATCAGCTGCTAAATTTTCATATTACAATAAATGATTTGCTCATGTTCTAATTCCTACGCAATATTAAGAAAGTAGAATTATTCTATTTTCCTCTGACCTAAATGATTTGGATAATTGTGATTCGTTTATTCATGTTTCATAGAATGCGCTGATGCCCTTTTTTCTGTCAGATTCGATATTTCTTATTTCATTTAATTCTTTATAATCATTCTCATTGCAAAAACAATTCGACCGATGAGAATTATACGTCCCAATTTATCAGCTGCTAAATTTTCATATTACAATAAATGATTTGCTCATGTTCTAATTCCTACGCAATATTAAGAAAGTAGAATTATTCTATTTTCCTCTGACCTAAATGATTTGGATAATTGTGATTCGTTTATTCATGTTTCATAGAATGCGCTGATGCCCTTTTTTCTGTCAGATTCGATATTTCTTATTTCATTTAATTCTTTATAATCATTCTCATTGCAAAAACAATTCGACCGATGAGAATTATACGTCCCAATTTATCAGCTGCTAAATTTTCATATTACAATAAATGATTTGCTCATGTCCTAATTCCTACGCAATATTAAGAAAGTAGAATTATTCTATTTTCCTCTGACCTAAATGATCTGGACCATTACGATTCGTTTATGCATGTTTCATAGAATGGTATTTAATTTTCTTTTGTTTGGTAGCCGGGCTTCATGAAAATTCGACGCAAGGCGATTGTAATCATGAAAACCGTCTTTCTCACTCCATTCGTTCGAAATATCCGCCTTCTCTTTGAGGAGATTTAAAGGAAATTAAAAATTCGATAGAAAAAAATATCTCCATTAACAACCACTAAATCATTCTGTCAGTGCATGTATCACTATTTCAATCCTCGAAATATCAGACACAAAAAACTTTTATCGTCTTCTCAGCAATTTTTATCCAATTTCATCCCCTCCTTTTTCACAAAACCTCGATCATCCGTCCTGGTGTCACCCTAATCGACACCTTATGCGACTATAATCTCGTCTTAACTCCTCGGATTTTACATTCCCCGAGGTAAGAGGAAAGTCTTGGTAAATTTGCGTGGACCCGGAGCGTTCAACAAGTCTCCCACCCCCCCGTCATCCACCTCCCTGTCGCTTTTTATCTCGTAAAGTCGAGTCCAGCCTATATCGCTGTAAAAATGTGTTTCGGGGTGTCGCGCTTGTTTTTTGAGAATTAGATTCGTTCGGGATTAGGGAGGGGCCGGTGCCCTGGGTTTTTACGGGGCTGATACACCGCGAATGAGGGATTGGGGGATTAATCATTGTACAATCGTCGATCAACATCCGATGGGCATGTCTTCGATCACTCTTCGCATCGGTATTATCTTTTTTTTGGTGATATGTTGTTGTCTGGGTGAGGTGATAATCCCGAGGTGGGTGCTGCTGATTAATAGAATGTGATTGGCATTTTTTTGCATTCGATGCCGAGAAAATTTCTTGCAAAAAAACAATTTGTTCGTTTTCAATTTTTTGATTAGTTTTGTCTTTAATTTTATTATTAAAAAATTTTTTTTCGCAATTTTAAGGCTCCATTTTTCCGTATATTTTAGAGTAGAAAAAAAAGCTTTCTAAAAAAATATGGAAATTGAGTTTAAAAAAATGAAATGAAGCATTTAAGAAACGGTTTTACAACAGATGTCACGTCTGAGACTTATGTTTTCAATTAAATAACAATTTTTTCTCTTTTGTGATCGAGAAGAAAATGAACTAAATATTAATACAATTATCCAAAATGAACTCCAACCCTTTGAATCCATAATTATCCTCTGACGAATCCCCAAATAAAAATCCGTCGGATTCTCATAATTTTTTAAAATAATTTCTTTCAATTTTGGTACTTAATTTTTTTTTATACAATTTTCATTAAAAGAAACGTTTTTACAATAGATGTCAAATCAAATGGAAGTATTTTTTTTTCTTGTGGTCATGAATAAAATGAACTAAATATTAATTCAATTATCTAAAACGAACTTCAACCCCTTGAATCCATAATTTTCTTCTGACGAATCCCCAAAAAAAAATCCGTCAGATTCTCATAATTTTTCGAAATAATTCCTTTCAATTTTGGTACGTAATTTTTTTACACATTTTTCATTTAAAAAAACGTCTAAAAAAAATCAAAAATAAATTTTTTTAAAATGAAATGAAAAAATTAAAAAACGTTTTTACAATAGATGTCAAATCAAACAGAAATATTTTTCTTCTTTTGTGGTCATGAATAAAATGAACTAAATATTAATACAATTATCTAAAACGAACTTCAACCCCTTGAATCCATAATTTTCTTCTGACGAATCGCCAAAAAAAAATCCGTCAGATTCTCATAATTTTTCGGAATAATTCCTTTCAATTTTGGTACTCAATTTTTGTACATAATTTTCATAAAAAAACGTCTAAAAAAATCAAAAATAGAATTTTAAAAAATGAAATGAAAAAATTAAAAAACGTTCTTACAATAGTCAAATCAAATAGAAATATTTTTTCTTCTTTTGTGATCATGAATAAAATGAACTAAATATTAATACAATTATCTAAAACAAACTTCAACCCCTTCAATCCATAATTTTCTTCTGACGAATCCCAAAAAACTCGTCACATTCTCATACTTTTAATCGACTCGAGTGACGCACAGTTCAGTACCGAGGGAGGTAGAATAGAAAAGTGGTTGGAGTTGGCCTCGGGAAAAGCCGAAGAGAAGTAAATCGAGGGGAGTGGAGAAGTAGGGGTGAACGATAAAAGGGGGAATGCAGAGGGCGAAGGAGAGGAGAAACCCCAGGACTGGGAGAGGCGAAGTGTCGTCGTCCGAATAACGGCCAGGCGGCATCGACCGATCTTCGTGCACCTCTTCTACTTCAACCCAACTCACTCGCTCTATTCTCTCCCTCACGTTTTCCCATACACTCACAACCACCCACTTCCCCACCGCTGCCTCATCGGTGGCCCGTACGAAGCGTCAACTTGTTTCTGGCTGCTATTCCACCGAATATTGACTTCAATTTGCCTGTTACTCGACGGCCAACGTCGCTCGTCTCTAATGCCATTGTCCTTGGCATTTTATTTCTGTATGTTTCCGTGTTTTTATCCCCTCATCCCTCGGCTAATTATGTCCGTCTTCTTTGATACGGTTTCACATTCCTCGAACTTGAGGTGTTGCGTGTGTATTTCTCGGGAGGGGGAAAAAGAAGGGGAGTTCCATTGTTCTCGAGCCCTGATTCAATCCCTGAACACGAAAGTCTTCAATTTTCAAGTGACTATTTCAGTATGCATTTGAACATTTCTTTAATACTAATTTTTTTGTCAGATTGATTGATTTTTTCCCATCACTTACTAGTGCCAAATTATTTTGATTGGATGTTCTTCTAATTATTGAAAGAATATTAAAATGCATCAGAGACATGGCAATGCCGCACGAATCATTCCTATGGTTATTTCGAGTTGGTAAACCTGCGGAGTGTTTTCTCTCTCTCAGTTCCATGGTCTAACCTATACCTCTCCCATGATGCTCCAGCCATTATATTGACATTCGAATTGCGCGCCACTCACGGTGAAGACGTAGTTGCCATAAGTGAGCCTCAATGTCTAGAATTTGCCCCGAAACTCATAATTTCCCGTATCATTATTTCAAATAACTTACTTATGAAATCTAGAAAAATTCTGCAACTTATACGTACTTTCAAGCAAGATTTGATTTATCAGCCACTAGTTTTTTTTTCAATATTTCATCATTTTTTTTCGAGATATCCAAAGTTTTCCTAATTTAGTTTTATCGCTCGAAGGGTTACAAAAACATCAAAATGTCATTATTTTTTTTTCTGAGGCCGAACTTTAGAACGCAATTTCAAAAAATCTCGAAAACCAGAAAATGTTCAATTTTACTCTACAAATATCGACTAATAAACGGCTCATTTTGACAAATGAGATCAGAGACTTCCTCCGAGGTAATTGATCCCAAAAAATATCCCAAACTCGATTAGTTTTGTCAGAAAAAAGTCGATAGTATGAATGGCGGATGAAATGTCTGAATGATCGCTCCATTTATATTTCATCCAACTCGTCAGAGACTAACGCGGACAGGATGTGAATCCTCGGGAATTTTTAATTGCCTGAGATCCAGTTTACCCGGTTAATATCGGTCGCGTCACTCCGCTCACTCAGCAAAAAACACACAGTACTCTATAATTTTATAGACGACTCGATACATCAAGTTGTCATAATGCAACTGCATTCCCAGAAATTAAGATAATCAACTTGCAATTATTTATATCTACATTTCCCCTCGTTTTAATTTTATTTTTCTCATCTGAAGTTCGACTGGTCGGACAGAAGAAATCATGAGCAAATGACATCCTCAAATAATTCCACGAAACCTTAATTTATCCTCTAATTCAGTAACGAAGCGATAAACCCATTTAAGTCAACTTAACTCTTCGCTGAGCTTTCGCGGAATATCTCCGAATCTAATCGAAATAGCGAAATTTTCATTATAACCATTTTTGTAGCTCTCAATTCGCGCTATAAAAAAGGTCATTACATACATTTTGCGATCTCCCTTAGTTTCCAAGATATTCATTAAAAACTGACCAATAATCTAAAGCGACTTAAACCAGAATTCGTTTCACCGACCAAAATAATTCCTTTTCAGAACAAAAATTCGCCTTTTGATCAATGGAGCATTATGAGGACGACGAGGACACCCACTACTGCATAAAGTGTCACGTCACGTTGACCGGGCTCGACAATTACGTACGCCATCGTCAGACAGGATGTCGTCCGTCCGAGCCAAAGAACGAAGTGATGTACCCAGAAATCCTGAATGCCGATACGTTTTTCAATTCGCTGGAGTTGCGGAGCAGTGTCAAGCCGAAATCCAGTGGTATCCAAGTGCTCGACGATCGTGACAAGAAGTCGAGAGCTGACGACAAGCGTAAAAAAGGAAAGAGATGTCAGGAGATTGAGGAGGCAGCATCCAAGGAGAAGCTGATGACACTGTCGCCAGTAGTGACGGACTTGGACGATCCGACGGATCACATTGGGATTCCCTCGCTGGTGGGATTCCCCGATATCGTAACTTTCACTGAGAAATCGACAGCGGTGACGCCCAACAAAATCACGCCCAAGCTACCGGACAAGAAGCGAAGCGAGGATCATCGGGTCTGGCTGAACGACGCGATTCTGGAGGAATTGGATGGGAATAAGGAAGCTGTGTCGCCTACGAATGCACTTGATAGTGAGGCTGAGTATGATTACAGACATGAGGATGAGTCGGATGTGGAGAGTGACGAGGACGACTCTTACTCGGAGTACGAGGAGGATGGGGAGTACCATTCGCAGGCTCATACGGGTGGCAAATGGAAGCCGGAACAGCTGCTCCAGGAGATATCTCCGCAGAATGATGACGATCTTGAGCAGGAGGATTACAGGCCGGACAGCCCACCTTCGCATACTGGGGGAAAGTGGAAGCCAACTGAGGTGAGTATACCCGAAAAAATAGTGTCTCAAGTTAAGGCATTGAGAGCATTGTCGAACGTAAATTTGTAAATAAAAGATTATAGGAGAGGGTAGGGCAAAACGGACCACTGACAGAAAATTGGTAATTTTTGTTTTTTTTCCTTTCCTTCAAATCAAAAACAATGTGTTGATTTAAAAGTGAGCTTCTTGGATCGTCATCGTCACATGGGTTTTATAGACAAAAAGTGTCGTTGAACCGCAATTTGATCATATTTGGTAATCACCTCAAACCACAAATGACTTTAACCCTAGTCTGGTCACCTGACGGGAAAATGCGACTTTAGTCACCTTCGCGGAAGAGTGCCGCCGTGTTATTTAGGCTCCAGCGTTGCCGAACCCACTCTACATTCCCCGGGCGTGTTTAGCGAGTTCCCAGCAACGTCGCGCAACAGGCAATTTTATTCAACGTGAGAAAAAATTGTTCACCTGTTGGAAATAATTTTTTTTCTCCCAGAATTAAGGATACAATATTGAAAAAAATTACTAGAATTTTCCAGATACTTCAATTGACGAATTCAATTTTTCTCAAATTTTTTCGGTCAACCAGTTGATGCCAAGGTGAATAAAACGACGTGTTGCAGCAATTCCCTCGCATGGTGACCAGTCTAGGGTTAAATTATTAAAAACAAAAATTATCAATTCAAAAATTATCAGAAATTATCAATTTTCTATCAGTGGTCCGTTTTGCTCAACCCTCCTCTAAAGAAACGCATAATCTTCCTTCATACGCTTAAACCCTTCACATCTTGCCTTCGAAGTTGATCAATTAGTCATATTTATGTTCCTCACTACAAAAACCTGGTGTCTAATAGCTATCTGAATTTAAAATGTCAGATGCTAAAAAACGTCTGAATCTTCAAAAGTGTCGGAAAATCTGACTAATGACTGAAAATTTCAACCCCCATTTCTGTCTGAAAATGATGGTAGACTTTTTTTATGTCTGAAAACTTTCAGGTATTTATTTTCAGATATTTTCTGTGTCTGAAATTCAGTTATTTATGAGCGATTCAAACATTTCACTATTAAGATATCTCACCGGATTCAGGCGGCAAAGTCCATTCAAACATTAATTTTTAAGATATTTCCCATCTTTGAAAAGTTGACTCATCTACTGCTAAAACTAGGTGTCTGATAACCATCTGAATTTAAGATGGCAGATGGCAAAAAACGTCTCAATCTTTAAAAGTGTATGAAAATCTAACTGATGTCTGAAAATTTCAAAACACCGCTTGTTTCTGAAACTGATGTCGGTATCTTAATTTCAGACATCTTGGTGTCTGGAATTGAAATATCTCCATTGGTTCAGACAGATTTTAATATCTCATAAGTGTCTACAAAATCGTCCCAAAAGTGTTTGAAAAGTGTCTACAAAAGCATCTGAAATTCAGACATTAGTTTTCGCAGTGCTGCTATCGTAAATCAGCACAAAATTTGACCCACCATGATCAATATTTTGAAAATCCAGTGGGTTAATCAATTCTGTCCGTCAACACATCTATTACCAGACAAATGCAACATAACGGGTCAAATCCCTTCGATACACCCCCAAATTCATAAAATACCCCGAAACACTTTATTGACGAGGTCAAATAAAGTTGCGCTGTACATTCAATACTCCGAGGTCCACAATGTCCTCGTGTTGGTGGGACTTTGTAATTAAAGGATCGCGTGACAACCGGCCGTTTGGCTAACTCGACTAATTGTCGTCCTTGGATATAACACAAGAGGGGGGAAATCGAGTGAGGAGATTGTGTAGTTGGATATATGTGAGCATGTCTCATCGATTCATCCCTGCCCAATCGTTAATAGAAAGCCGACGAGGATGAGCAAGCGAACATAGACGAGGAGGATGATGACGAGGACGAGGATGACGACGACGAGGATGAGGACAAGGACAGGAGACAACCGCCGCCAGGTCACACCCGTGGAAAATGGATCCCAGGAGTTTCTGTCGTCACACCAGCCCCCAGCAGCGACACCAGTTTCTGGTGCACTCCATGCGACAGAAGACTCGCCTCAAAGTTACTCTACAACAGACACTTGCGATCCGATCTCCACGCGAGAAGGACTATCCAGGAAATCGAGGGGGATATCAAGCTACCGAGAACCGTCGGCCCACTACTGAGAGGAAAAGCCCTGAGTAAACGACAACAAGCACTCGCCCTCGTGAGTCACAATTAATATCTTTAATGCCCCCTTCTGATACGTGAATAGCAAGTCATTCAAACACTTGTTACTCTACTGTTATTACTGATAACACCCCCATATTTTGCCCGTCTCAAACTTTAGAAATCTTCGGATAAGAAGAGAGCTTTGACTAATAAACAACAGAGGACTAGACAGCGAGAAAAATTGGTCCTGCGATGCGAGATGTGTCAGGCCCGTGTACGTCGCGTTCAGCTGGGTAAACACCTGCTCTCTCACTACCACTGTCGTGTTGCTGGATTAAATCCCAGCAGTTCCATTGCACGTCGCTTTATCCTGGAGAACATGGACAACGTGGTGCGCCAGTGTCCATTTCAGTGCAGTAGCTGTCGGTTTTATTGTAATACCGAGGAGACGTTCCTCCTGCACTGGCGATCTGAGTTGCACAACAGTGTGGAGAACGACGTGAGTACGACTGTTCGTCCTTTCTACGTTAAAATCATTCCTTTTGACTTTCTTCTCCTAATTTCCCTTTCAGCCAAACAGCAGTCTGACGTGTGTCAGCTGCAACTTTTGGTGTGACAGCAATGAAGCCATGGAGGAGCATCTTCTTGGTCTCGAGCATCGTGAGGCAGTCGCCATGATCAACGGCTCGGTTCCTGTCGTCATCCGTAGGCAGAGAACCCTAATTTGTGACACTTGCAATCGTCATTTTCAGTACAACTTCCAACTCAGAATTCACTCGAGGGAAACTGGACATCCCCCGAGTGCAACGGCCACTGATGACTACCAACAGAGGATAGCTTGTAGGCACTGCGCCCAAGTTTTTAGGTCTCTAGTAGCCCTTCAGCGACATCAACTGACCAGCCACACGTCCAAGGATGGGGGAGAACTGCCGGCACCTTATTTCTGCTCCTTCTGCTCGATCAACTTTGAGACTGCTCGAGACGCTGTGTTACATAGAAGAACCACTAGTCACAAGCAGACTGTCAAGGAGCACAAGTTTCGGGGAGTTGAGACGTCACAAAGGGATTGCGGTCACTGTGGGGAGAGGGTGAGAGATCTGGAGGCACTCAAGCTACATTTGATTCAATCCCATCACAATCTTTGTCACAGGTTTGTTTGAATGCTTTTAATGATGGATTTGGAGATGTTTTGGGCTTTTCAGAAATCGTGTGAGGGGATGCTTTAGTAGTAGTTAGAATGGAAGAATCATTATGAAGACGATTGACTAGATGTTGTGCGGAAGAGATATGAGATGAGAGCGTTAGAACAAAGAGTGTCTCGCATTGCGACCTTAATTGCATTCTGGGAATTCTGGAAATTCAGTTGACGAGTGACATTTGAGAGAAAGATTTGAAACTTTTTAGGCACTAGCGCCAAAATATTGATGCGCTTTTATTACGTTCTTTTTCCTGTGAGATTCGATATTGCTTTTTTAATTTATTTGTTTATAGATGCCTAAATTCATCAGCTGTTAAATTTTCGTATTACAATAAATGATTTGCTCATGTTCTAATTCCTGCGCTCACTGAATAAGATTTTAATCATAATTGCAATTCAATTCCTTCGAGAACACACTTTAGACTGTGAATATCTGGAATTCGATGTTTGTTGATATTTTGGTAAAAGTGCGTGCTCACACTGTTATCAATTTTTAGTTAGTTCACACGGTAATTCAATTAATCTGTTGTTCATATCATCAATATAATTCCGTGCTTAGAATATTGTCATCTCGTGTTTTCAGCACCAAATTAAAAATTAAAACTTCATTTGGAATATTGAGTCACAGCTTCTTTTTATTCATATCAGAAATTTTGTATTTGGATATTAATATTATTTGTTCAAAGTGAAAAAATCGATCATCATTTTCACTATATTGCATTCAGATTCTCCTATCCTTAACGTCAAAAATGTGAGATAATCTCATAATTCTAGCTCTTAATTCTAATCAACTTTGTTCGAAGAAAACCTTAGTAAACGCAATATTAAGAAAGTGGAATTATTCTATTTTACTCTGACCTAAGTGATTTGGGCAATTATGATTCGTTCATTCATGTTTCGTACAATGCGTTGATGCCTTTTTTCTGTCAGATTTGATATTTCTTATTTCATTTAATTCTTTATAATCATTTTCATTGCAAAAACCAATTCGACCGACGAGACTCATACGTCCCGATTCATCAGCCGTTAAATTTTCATATTACAATAAATGATTCGCTCATGTTCTAATTCCTATGCTCACTGAATAAGATTTTAATCATAATTACAATTTAATTGCTTCTGGAACACACTTTAGAGTGTGAATTTCTAGAATTCAATGTTTGTTGATAATCTGGTAAAAATGCGTGCCCACACTGTTATCAATTTTTAGTTAGTTCACACGGTAATTCAATTAATCTGTTGTTCATATCATCAATATAATTCCGTGCTTAGAATATTGTCATCTCGTGTTTTCAGCACCAAATTAAAAATTAAAACTTCATTTGGAATATTGAGTCACAGCTTCTTTTTATTCATATCAGAAATTTTGTATTTGGATATTAATATTATTTGTTCAAAGTGAAAAAATCGATCATCATTTTCACTATATTGCATTCAGATTCTCCTATCCTTAACGTCAAAAATGTGAGATAATCTCATAATTCTAGCTCTTAATTCTAATCAACTTTGTTCGAAGAAAACCTTAGTAAACGCAATATTAAGAAAGTAGAATTATTCTATTTTCCTCAGACCTAAATGATTTTGACAATTATGATTCGTTTATTCATGTTTCATAGAATGGTATTCAATTCTCTTTTGAATGTTAGGCGGGCTTCATGAAAATTCGACGCAAGGTGATTGTACTCATGAGAACCGCCTTATTTTCGCCATTCGTTCGAAATATGCGCCATGTTCGAGTTCTCATTTTAGATTCGAGATATTGGCCATAGTTTTTTTTAGAAAGGATTCCCCGACAGTTGTACATCATCACCCATTAAATGTATTACTTATTTTGTGTTCTTAGATGCTCCCAATGTGGATCAGTCTTCGCCCTCTCCCAAGACCTCGCAAGACACACCAAGAAGCAGGAGTGCATTAAAGCACTGGATCAAAAATTGAGCTTCAAGGGTCAAAAATGGAGGTGCACGAACTGTTCCCTGTTCAGCACAGACTCACAATCGGAATTCATCTTTCATCAGGTTCTCCACGCTGGGGTTGTGGAGGAAGATCTTGATGGACCGGGCACAAGCAAAGCATCGGTCAAGTATCGCTGCCTGCTGTGCGACAAAATCCTGCCGAAGGAGTCCATGAGGAATCACATCAGGAGGCACACGGGGGAGAGGCCCTTCTGCTGTTCGAAGTGTAACAAGTCCTTTTCGAGAAGATCTAGCCTCAATGTGCACGGAAAAGGATGTGTGGCGAGGGCTCAGAATCAGGACCAGGGGGTGAAGGTTCGAGAGAGGAATTATGTGTGCGCTGAGTGCAATGAAGCCTTCTATACAAAGTGAGTAAATTATACTTCTTTTGGAGGGAAGACGTGACACTCTCTTCTTATTTCAAACTTTTCTTGCACACGAAGAGAATATAAAATTATTTTTTACTGTGGGAATCCGCCATACTCGAAAATTTACTGTTTAACATAGTAATTTTGAGAACAAATGGAAAACTGCGACGTGCTGGAGGAAAAAATACGGCTGACAAAATTAAAATATGATGGAGTCCGTTGGAAAAATTACTGCTGAACATAGTAAAAATTGAGAGTCGGNTAATTCCTATGCTCACTGAATAAGATTTTAATCATAATTACAATTTAATTGCTTCTGGAACACACTTTAGAGTGTGAATTTCTANAAAATGGTAGCATAAAAGTTGAATTTTCAATTGACACGAGTAAAATTTAGAAGGATAACCATGAATTTTTNTACTTCTTTTGGAGGGAAGACGTGACACTCTCTTCTTATTTCAAACTTTTCTTGCACACGAAGAGAATATAAAATTATTTTTTACTGTGGGAATCCGCCATACTCGAAAATTTACTGTTTAACATAGTAATTTTGAGAACAAATGGAAAACTGCGACGTGCTGGAGGAAAAAATACGGCTGACAAAATTAAAATATGATGGAGTCCGTTGGAAAAATTACTGCTGAACATAGTAAAAATTGAGAGTCGGTATAGTAGAAAATGGTAGCATAAAAGTTGAATTTTCAATTGACACGAGTAAAATTTAGAAGGATAAACATGAATTTTTACTTCGTCGGTTAAAAAACTATTCTCTCCCCCTTTCAAAATGAATATTCGCGGAAGAGGACGAGGGAGAGGGGGATTTTTTCAATAATCGAAGTGAAAATAGTATATTTCGTAACGAGTGCAAAAAACATGTTTTCACGAGTTACGAACAATATTTTTCATCACAATGTGACGGAAATTGGACTTTTAGGCACGCCGAGCGTGCCGAAAAGTTCACTTTTCGTCACAGCGTGATGAAAACCATATTTAATCTTCTTTATCATCCTTGAAAATTATTATCAATAATTTTGCTCCACGTATATTTATTCTGAAAAAGAGAAGGGGGGAGAGGAAGGATTGAATTTTTTAGAATTATAGAATCCGCCACCCGGGCCATTGCGTGGTCGACGGAGGAAGGAGGTTCCAAAAATTGAAAACAATCGACGCTCTCGGCGTCCGCTGGAGTTTTTACTAGTCAACATAGTAATTTCTGCTATTTCCTCAAGTAAAATGTAAGAGGCGCGAGAGTATAAAATAAATTTTTAAATCGTAAGAAAAAATTACAATTTAACATAGTAAAAATTCATACGATGTGAATAATTTGTCGTCGTTCAATAGTAAAAATTGGTAAAAAAATGAAGCGTTTTTAACACTTTCGAAATTCATTTTTCATCACGCTGTGACGAAAAGTGAACTTTTCGGCACGCTCCGCGTGCCTAAAAGTCCAATTTCCGCCACATTGTGATGAAAAATATTGTTCGTAACTCGTGAAAAAATGTTTTTTAGCTCGTGGGATTATATCACGAGCCTTCGGCTCGTGATATAAACCTCCCGCTCGCCAAAAAACACTTTTTTGCACTCGTTACGAAATATACTATT